GGCAGATTGCCTTCGACAAGGTGGTGACACCTTCGAGAAGGAAATCTAAATCTACAGCAATTAATTTAGTTACCTACCTAAATGATGTTCAGCCATCTGTTTGTTCACAGGAACAGACTGACTGTGTATTTTGATTCAGTCCCTCATTCTATTCTTTTGGAAAATCTTAATAATTTTGGACTATCTTCTCCTTATGTTAAGTGGGTCGAAAGTTGTTTATCTGCTAGATCTGCCTTTGTTCACATTTTAGGAGTCTTCTTCTGCTTACTCGGTGTTATCTGGAGTGCCGCAAGGCTCTACCTTGGGACCTCTCTTATTTAATGTTTTTATTAACGACATTTGTGACAGAATTAAGTATTCTAAATTTCTCGTATTTGCTGATGATTTGAAACTATATTGTGATATAAAATTGGTGAATGACTGCAAATTTCTTCAATCAGATATTGATTCTGTACATCAGCGGTGTGATGTTAACAATATGGAACTTAACATCAAGAAAACCAAAATTACATCGTTCACACGGAAAACCAACAGTATTCATTTTAACTACTTTGTCAGTGGTATTTTAATTTTCCGTACTGACTGTATAAAAGATCTTGGGTGTCTTGTTAGACACTAAGCAATACTTTCATTGTCATGTAAATTTTATTCATACACAGGCACTAAGGACCTTAGGGCTTATTCGTTTTATTACATATAATTTTTCCCCTTTTGACACTCTTGTTGTTTTATATAATGCTTTAATTAGATCAAAGCTTGAGTATGCCTCGTTTGTATGGAATAAGATTGTAATAAATTAGAAAATATCCGAAAGAAATTTGCCAGTTTGTGCAGTTACTGGTTTTTTCAGTTTAATATTGCACATAAATATGAATTGATTTTAACTACTTTAAATTTCAAAACACTTTATGCCAGATGACAGCATCTCGATGCTTTATTTCTTATTAATGTATTTAAGGGCAAAATAAATTGCAATTCTATCTTGGACACTGTTGGTATTCGTGTGTCATCAAGGCAAATTAGAGAATTTTCTACTTTTAGTGTGTGTAGTGTGCTCAAACATAGTCCTTCAGCCAGGTGTGTCATTGCTGCAAATGACGTATGTACATTTTTGGACGTATTAAATATGGATCGACAACAATGGTCAGACTTCGTGCACAGCGCAATAACCCAGAAGACAGAAATCTTCATACTCACCGCTGTGAGAACCTCAAGTCTTACATTGTTATGTTACTTAGGAAACGTAATCTGTTTACTCGGCATTGTTGCTAATATATAAACTTCCTTTCCGTATAGACGTATTTATGTCAGATTCTCCGGAACCGTGGTTCCACTGTCAATTTTTTTAGCTAAAAATAATTTCAAAGAGAATTAATCAAAGATATAATTTGGTTACGTTCCATCCTAACTGTAAAAAGTATAAATTAATATTTTATATTTTCTCTATAAGAGGAAAATAAATTTAAAAGTAATGAAGAGAATTTTACAATTTTATTTGCCCTTATTTAAAAAATTACGCCCGGTTTTAGTTTTCCTTCCCGGGCGCTGTTGAGTCCATCCCTGAGTGTGAGAAAAAACAATGTTTCCTTCGATTCTCGGGAAAGATATTTTTTGTTGTTCGGATAATAAGGACCAGGGAAAGGATCTCATTAACTAAAGTCACAAACCCGAAAACTGTCCCGAGTTCCAGAAGATGAATTTGTAAGAAACTGTCGTATTTCCCCTTAGTAAATACTCGAAATTGAGGGTTCACATGTTTCTTTACTCGTTCTCTTGTAACTCGTGAAGGAGAAACCTGGCGTAATTATTCCTTAAGACAAATGAAAGAACACTGGAAGGTCAGAACTCTGGGAAAAAGTGTCCTGAGTTCGATTTCCGGCAAGATAACGCTAGGCCGCACACGGCTCGACGGACAGCAAGTCTCCTGCAGGAGTTCAGCTGGGAGGTGTTTAATCATCCACCCTACAGCCCGGACCTCGCTCCCAGTGATTTCCATCTTTTCCTACACCTCAAGAAATTCCTGTCCGGTCAGCGTCAGCGTTTTGAGAATGACAGAGAGGAGGAGATGGTTGTCACACAGTGGTTCCAATCCCAGGCGGCAGACTTCTACGACACAGGTATTCAAAAGTTGGTCCCACGGTATGACAAATGTCTCAGTTCCGTTGGCGAATATGTTGAAAAATAGCTGGACACTTGCTGTATCTGTTGCAATAAATATTTCCATGAAATTGTGTTTTGTTTCTGTAAACGGCCCCAGGGAAACTTACTTTGTAGACAACCTCGTACAAACATTGTTTCTTTCGAGGGCACTTTCTCATTAAGAGAAATGATCTAAAGAGTGGCCTAGATTGGATCTAGCTTGGTTATTTGTTTTAATTTGATTGTTGCCTTTATTTTGTTATCTTGTATTGTTTTAGTATTCTTTTAGTGTTTTACATTTATATTAGTGTTTACATTGCTGTTGGCAAACAATCTAATAAAGGAATTGAATTGAACTTTCCACATCCTGTTGTCATCTATCTTATGGATCCATCAAATGTTATAAAGATGTATGTATGTATGTTTAGATCAATCATGATATGACACCAATAACAGCTATGCTGAAACATCTTGTGAAATTGTGTCCTATAGATGCCTAATACCGTAGAAACATGATTTGAACTGATCTTGGTGATTAATAAGTAATAAATTAATTAATAAGTAATAGATTTAATCTATGTACTACACTTACCCTCCATAGCCAAGTCTTTATTTTTTGTCGGTTCAATGCCGGAAAATTGTGATACTATTTCCTCATTTATAGTCGAATGAGAAGGTGATAGTGAATTGTAAATGATGGGGAAGAAAGCATTCTTGGTATAATTTAAGGTACTATCCCAGAATTTGCCTGGAGGGAATAAAGAATCTTCAGGTTTCATACAAACAAAGCATTTTTGATCACCTGAGCTAATATTAGTTTCTCAGGAGGGAGACTGGAGTGAGTTATATATAGGCCAAATTGGAAACAAACATAAGTGCATAAATTATTGCCCATTCAGATCACAAAATTCTTCAATGAGAAATAAATGAAAATGTTTCAGTGTTTTGTGAACTGAAGAAGGACAGAAATGCAGAAATTACATTTCTAAAATTTATTTAAGGCCTGTAACAACAAACATTGCAGGGTTAAATGGAAAATTTTAACATGGAATAGCAAGACACTGAGATGGAATACTCTCACATCATCTGCAATGCACTTAAGTAAGATAACTCAAAGAATTTATGATTGTAGGCCTGCAAGTCGTTCGGTCACAGAGTTGAAGGTTGCTTCTGAATCACAGCATGCCCAATAACTAATTTCTGATTGATTAATTAAAACATCAGTTTTTATATAATACAAGAGTAGGTGTCCTTTCTTCGTTCCCTCCTTCCTTACTTCTTACCTTCTTCCCATGCCTTATTCCAAACCTGATTTTTGAACGAGACAGCCATGTTGCAGTGTTATTAAAAAGGCTGCATGCAGTCAGACTGTCAACTGGCTCTTAGTCTGTTAATGCACAACATACACATTGGAAGCACTGTGTTTACGTACTAAGCGCTTGAAAGAAGAGCAGCCCACGAGAATTGTAACACATTGTGTGGGACTGCATGCCATAAAATTTGAAGGCACAGAACGTTTACCCTGTACACATGGTAGATCAAAGAAAGTTTCACTTCACATGTGCTTTACATTGGCAGATCCCATGGCTACTTAAATTAATTATGCTCCAGGTTGGGAATGGGTAAAGGACGGGATAGAGATCACTTAGCGATGGGTTTCGGACAAGAGGCAGCATGAATTCATAGAGGGAATTCACAGTCAGTTTTCCCTTAGTATACTCACATTTGAGATGCTTGATTCCTTTGGCCACATTCTGAATGCACTGTGAATTTTGTCAAGGAAACGTAATGGAAAATAGGGATGAAGATGTGCACAAAACATTGGACTGCGTGGAGCAGTCTCTTTGAGAGGCTCACAGCACACTCGGCTAGTTAAAAGAGTAGCCGTGTAAATTTCCTTAATATGCTAGTCCTTTTATGGTGAGGAGTTGTTAGCATCCCACCTGATTTCCAGCTTCCTTCCATTTCTGGATGCCTTCTCCTCCTGGAACCCCAGGAACTGCCATGCAGTGGTAAAAGATGACTTATTAAATTTGGTATTGATAATGTAAATTACATTCAGCTAACTCAGGGTCAGGTACACTGACGGACTTTACACATAATGAAGACGTGTTTTAATTTTTATGGGCTTAGTCTACATTTTAAAACAGAGATACATTTTAATTGTTGTGTCTTAATCAGACATACTTTCTTATCTTATAAACAGCATATTAGGTAAGTTCCAGTACGGTTGAATTTACTTGCTAATTTGTGTCTTTCGTTATTGGTATTGCAGGCATGCTCTTACATAACTCCAGTCCTGGTGACTAATGAATCATACTGAAGAGAAAATTCTCAGCAGTGATGAAGTTCGGGATGTGCTGATTGACATTTCGGCTCCTTCATTGTATCAGATGTGCCTTTGGAATGCAACCTCTAAGGTTAACAGTTATTTCCATCTCATGCAATAAATGATATTTACCACTGTAACATGCATATCAATATAAACAGATTGTATGATAAACTGCTACATAATTGATCATTTTTAGGTTCTGCCAGAATATATTCTTATGGAATGTGTTTTATATCTGCAGGTGTGTCATCACCTGACTGTCGCAGTATTATGCCGGAATAAAGACAATTCTGTGACATTACTAAATACAAGTAGGAAAATGAACACAGTTAGAACTCCATTCTTCACAGGCTGTATCCTTCAGAGTAAGATGCACTACATTCAGAAACAGTTCCTTTACATTCTTTCATCCACCTCAGCTGTCAGCAAATTATTGTAGTTGAGGTAACGTGCCTTGCTTTCTATGGCACGTTTTAACCTTCTCAGGAATAGAACAAGAAAGGATGGAAGAATAGAAACAAAATGAAAATGTTAAGATAATCATTCTTTAGAAGGAAGTGTTCCTGATAAATGATAGTATGAAGGATCTTCAAATGGGGCAAGAATCTCGCTGGTCATAAGTAGCAAAGTGATGATGCTGAGAGGCAGAGGTGGGTTGAATGACTGCAGCTGACACTCAGGACCGTGTGAGTTGATACATAAGATGAATGCACAGTGAACACTTGTCATAATAAACAATGCTCATGAAGCAAACAATACTTGCTGACACAGAACACAGCAAAAATACAATTAAGAGGGCAGTAGTTAGAGTCATCATTTGTTGCTAGCTACTCACTTATCATTCTGTCAGCAGATGACAATGTGGGTTACCTCTTTGAAGCTTTAAGTGATCAGGTATTTTGGATATTAATATTGGTATATAGTAAATATCTTTCTATAATCATTTTAACTCTAATTAAATGTTACAATTTTACATTTCTTGGGTGATAGCAGAAGCAGACGCTCTGGATGGAGGAACTTGATATAACGATAATAAGTGTTTCACTTTGTTCCCTCTAGATACATCTGGAGACTTTCTGGTCATTAGATTCTAAAATGCAGTGGAATCTGACCGATATGCTGATGGTAATAATAAATGGACATTGCAAATTGTGTCATAATGCCGTAATGTGTATGTGTGCTGTTATCGCATAATTAAATGAATAAAGTTTTGATGAAATTACAGTAATTCCATTACTGTCTACAGTCTCTTAGAGCTAAGAGTTCTAACTCTGTGTTGCTTCTTTTCCAATTTTAACATGGCCTTTGCAATTGTTCCCTCCTTGTGAGCCTTAATTGCATCTTCATACTGGCTTAAGGAGTTTGTCTTGATGCCAAGTTTTTCATAGACCAGATGCCTTCACATGCCAGGCAATGAAATTAATTGAGTCTCTTGACATATTAATATGAAGGATAAATGCAGATGAATTGCCTGACACCTCCTGCAATAGATAATATACGTAAGTGCAGGTGATTCTTGATTGTGTGAATTATATGTATACTAGAGCAGAGCGCTCCATTTGGAGCGCCTTGGGGGAGGGGAGGGTGGTCAAGTTTGTAAAGCGCAACCAACCTTGTGTACGAAACTAAACTAACCCCCCCAAATGGTGGGTTAAAACACTTGACTAAGGGGGGGGTGCATTTTAAAATCTTAGGTAACACACTAAACTAACCACCTCTACAGGGGGGTTAGTTTAGTGTCTCATTCAAGTGTTTTAACCCTTGAGTAAGAAACTAAACATTTCTTAAATAGTTTTATGTCGCTGTTCGGAGGCGATGTGCTTCTGCTGGAGCAGTGATCATGCGACTGGCTTGGTAGTTGTTGATCTCGTTGCAAAGCGTTATTTGTTTACTCGGCATTGTTGTGTTGTATAAACAAATATAAGGTGACATTGTTGATGACGTCATTTTTTGACGACGACTAATCACAAATTTTTATAGTAAGAAGATACTTCTTGCCTGTAATACTGTTAAGATAGAGAAGTGGTTAATGAAATCTTCTCCTATCCATTGTCTTCCCATGATGCATGCCACAAAATAAGAGTAAACAACCAATGGCACCACCAAGTAAACAAACAATGAACTATTAAGTCTTTGTATAATAGATGTATAAATTTTGTGAACATTCATTGAAAACTGCAAGCTATGACATTACATCCGAAACATAAAGAGAACAGTGGTGTAATTTACCTGAGTGTAAACCAAGGGCACACTGATTCAGTCGTGGCTTAGCAGATTGTCACACTATCCACGGAAATTGATCAGTACGTCATTTGCTGCATTTTTATGTAGCTCTCCGGTCATTTGAGCCTCCCGCGCTACTTTCTCAGCCCATACAATGGACAGCCAATGTTTAGACAGCTTTGGGAATTTAATGCTCAAGTTCTTTATTTTGGTCTTCTGGCAAAATGCTTTGTACATCTTCAGAAACTTGCAAAGCCAACGGAAATATGTTTTAACAGTTTTCCTAACATCGAGTGTTTAACACTGGTATTTGGGATGTTCCCGAGTTTCGGCACCAAAAATGTTGTGGATTAAAGTAAAGTAGCCATTTTGCCATCACACACAGACACTTACTTTATTGAACTGAATCATGGGTACAAAAAGATCGAGTTTTAGTTCAGAGATGGCACGCATAGGTATTTTAGCTTTCAATGCTCCATGTGCAGAGGCAGGTGAGGTTCTGGGAGGTGTAGCAGACTTTGTTTTCACTTTGGGCTGTGGATGGTAGCTTTATGGATTGCACATCAATTTCTTTTATGACTTCATCAGTTAATCCAATGCTCCCACCAAGCTCAATTTTGGAATGACTGGCTGAGCTGTTGCTTGATGGCAGACCTCCCGAAAAATATGTTTCATGGAATAGTGCACACCAAGTCACAAGGCTTATAGCATGAATACAAAAATTCATAATACTAAAAACTGAAACACTATTCTCTAACAACTTGCCACACTGTCCTGGGCCAACAAAATCCACTCTCCTATCTGCCATATGTGGGTTGGGGCATGAACATGAACCTGTCACTAACAAATTCTATTTCTCTAATTCCCTACTCACTGATTTCAGTGTCCCAGCCTTATAGAGACTTCTAATGTTTCAAGTTCCAAATCTCATATCCTTTTTCAATTGCCATGGTCGTGCCAAAGAGTCCGTCCTGGTCCGAGGCTTGGTTAATTTGTTCGTAACAGTGCTTTTTTTTTTACGGTGAAAGGTTGTTAGCATTATGCTCAACCCCGAAGCTGGAGGACCACCCCTCAAACTCTGTCCACAACTGGCTTATTCAATATATTCGCAGCTAACCTCCATACCTGGAGGCCGTCCCTCTATCCGCAACCTGAGGACGCGGCATGCGGTGGTATGAGGGGGACATGTCATATATGTAAATTATAAACATTTCTTACTGTATAGACACATATTTCTTATATGAAATATTAAAGACATTATAATGTGAAAAATGCTTTGTATAAATTTACCCACATGTCCAATTTAAATTGTATGCCATAAACTGAAATATTCTTTGACCTAATATCAACTCCAGTTGTTATAGGGTGGGTATATCGAAGTCTGGAACAATGAACCGGTGCAGGAAACTATAATAAAGAAAAAAAAATTGTATATTTTAATAGTAGATGACAGGGAGATTCTTCGCACCCTCTCCTCACTTAAGAGGTGCCACGGACTAAGGGCTAATTAATGTCTTCGTCTGCCATCTAGATTTTTTTGGAAAAATAGTACAGTAGAAGTTCCATTTCCTTTCTGTACCGCAGTACGAGAACCGTTGATGCTGCTTCTGCTGCGCTTTTCGTTGTTCAATACTGTGCCATTTTGAAGTCAATCTTCTCATGCTGCAGCTTGATAATGATGGAACTGCTGCCTTCCAATCATGTTTTGCCAGTTGTTATAGGTTGGGTCAAATCGAAGTCTGGATCAATGAACCGGAGTAGAAAACTAAAATAAAGAAAAACATTGTATGCACTGCATTAATGCAAATACTTCAACAAAAAAGAGTCAATGACAATAGAAACTTCATAGCTGAATTATAAATCAAATAAATTCATAACATATCAGTAATTCAATGTAATGAACCTTGTTTTACCTACTCCAGCGTCGCCTAAAACAATAATCTTCAGCTTAAATAATCCCATTTCGGGTCTAACTTATGTATCCTCTTAAAATTTACTTGTAATGACCAAACACATCACTACTAAAAACAAATTTCAAAGAAATTATCAAAGATGGCGAATATGCAGCCCAAAGATGCTCGGCAGTTGTCACCACAATATATCACAGTTAATATTGATGAACCATGGAAAAATACATTTATCAGAACAGATGCCATTTCTTCTCATTATATATCAAACATGGACAGAAGATGCTTTTTTTTAATAATCTTGCTTATATAACACTAGTTTTAACTTCCAAAAACTGACTGTGAAACATTGTGTAAATGGTTATTAAAATTCGTTTCCTTGTAACCAAGAAAGGGGCAAAGGGGATATGCTTGTACATCAGTCACAAATTACTTTGTCTTGTTGACTGACGGTACTTTAAAGTTCCATGTTGTATTTTGTGGCTTTGAAACTATATAATACATCCTACCCTTGTAATTTCCTAATGGTACTCTCAAGTATCCCATATTTGGAGAAAAGATATTTCATATTTGCAGTTGGTGTTGTTCCACAGCCTGTTGTATCCTTCTATTCCATGGAGTGTTTTCATAGAATTGTCTTGGACGACATACTGCATTTACAAAACCTATTTCTTCGTTCCAGGGAAACTGTTTGATATGCAAGCTATCTGAAAAGACGTAAGTATGTTTATATAAATATACATAATTATAACATTTATGATTGATTTGAAGCAACTGACCGTGAAAAGTATGGTACTTAGAAGTACCAACAGGCGGGATGGAGGTTCATATGTTAATCATACACATAACCTCAAATAATGTGCTTCTGATCCATAATTTTCTCTCATTATGAAATAATGTTCAATAATGCATGAAGATTTATCAAAATATTAAGATATATTGTAACCAAAACTGAAATTTCTGTCTCTTTACAGGTTTTCATTATGTCTGACCAAAACAAAGAACAATTGCCTCCCATATTTATTGATATTTTTGAGATATTATTAGAAGACTTACCAGAAGATGACAAGGAAAATACTGATATAGAAGAGGAAGAAGAAGATGCTGCTATTGAAGTTGCATTTGACAGAATTTTTGATCAAGAAATAGATGCAGCAGTGTGTGAAGCAGCAGAGGAAGATGCTGGAAATTCCACTGAAAATGTTGATGTAGAACCATTACCAACCACCTCAGCAGCCTCCCCTATTCTTGATATTGATAGGAAATGGAGAGATTTGGAGACAAAAATTCCACATTACAGCATGAATGAAGGGTTTGTACATTATTGATATCATCAAGAAACAATCAGAGTATCTGTCCTTTCTTTAGCTATTGTTCCATTATTTCTTTTCATAGTGTGTGAACTTTTTATTTGTGTGCTAACAATCTCATTTCTTTCCACAGGGCTTACAGAAGTGTTTGCCTAATGCGAAACAGAAACAGAAGTGGTGATAACTGTGATAGAACCTGTAATTGTTGTTTCAGAGTAATCTGTATGGGACACAGAAAGGTAAAACTCTGAATCTTAAAAAACATGAGCTATTAGCATTTCTGGGCATAAACTTCCTCATGGGTTACCATAAACTTCCTTCTTGGTCAACAAGTGAAGATTTGGGAATCCCATTGATAAGAAAAGCACTGAGCCATGATAGATTTGACAGCATACTAATGCATTTACATGTGAATGATAATTCACAAATGACTGGAAAAAAAACAGACAAGCTTTACAAAATTAGGCCATTGGTAACTGCATTGAATGACAATTTTCCAAACATTTACAAAGGGACAAGGGAACTTAGCATTGATGAATCAGTGAATTTATTCAAGGGGAGGAGTAGCATCAAACAATATAACCCCATGAAACCTATAAAGAGGGGTTATAAACTGTGGTGCATTGGAGACCAAAGGGGGTACATTCTAAAATTAGATATATATCAGGGGATAAACGAGTCTCTGGAACAAGAGTTCAGGCTACGAAACCGTGGCAATCATTTTGTGATTTTTGTAAAAATCCGTGGTTGATGTGAAGTGTGCTCCAAGAAGAAGATACAATCAAGACCACATTCAAAGTGCACTACATGCAGTGTATTTCTTTGCTGCCATGAGAAGAAAAACTGTTTTGCAGAGTATCATGCTGTATCTGTTGAGTAAAATGTGACAGGCAATGTGTTTGTAAAAATTGGCAAAATGTGATTTTTATGTTTGTGTATATTGTATGTGTAACATGGCTACTTGATTTAATTCTGTTATATGTAGTACTGTGTTTATAAATGATTTTCTGTATTATAATTTTGTAGTGTTGTTAACAAGGCAAAACATGTGATAGAATGATCAAATACAGTGAAACCTCTATCCATCGTTCCCCGAACTATCGTTTTCCCGGATGCATCGTCCGTTTTGTTCGGTCCCGGATACATCCCATATAAAATAATGTTACATTTTCCCGCTTCTATCGTTCCTCGAACTATCGTTTTATCGCATCGATCGTTCAAAAATCTTAGTCCCGGCCCACAATTTTCCCGCAATGATCGTTTCTGAGAATTTAAAATGCTGGGTTTTGAGATAAATTAATACCGAAAGACGCACAATGTTTTTGGAATACACAGTAGCGGTAACCTGTTATGTCGCCCAAGCAGCACAGATTCTTTTGGAATGAGGGGTCAGTGGTGCAGGGGTGATAGTTGGAGCGAATGGCGGTGCTCATTGTCAGAAATTTTACGAGTTTAATTAGGGTGCACTCATATTTCGTTCCAGCGATGCCAGATGGCATGTGCATTGTGAATTTCTTCACAAATGCTTTTATTACAAGTACAAAGGAAAGGCGGGCGACACTTTTCATTCTTCTCGTTTCCAGTGGTTCAGTGTCTTCTACAGCTACGTTTCGTTGAGTTCGGCAGTAATAGTATTACCATTCTTCCTGTTATTGTCCGCGAAGGGGGCGGGAGTGGTGAGGAAGAGGAAGACGACGAATGAGAGCCCGAAGCTGTGCCGAGTTTTGCCGAAGCATTGGCAAAAGTGAAGTCGTTCTTTTATGCGCATAATATTAGTGAACGTGACGAGGAAAACATTTTGAACGTGGAAAGGGCTCTGTTTGGCCCAAAACGTAAAGTTTCGACAAACCAGTTGTACATTAAAGACTTTTTTGGTAGAAAGAAGTAACTTTGAAAGAGAAACATTCAGTTTTTTTAATTTTTAATGCTTTCCCGCAACTATCGTTTTCCCGTATTCATCGTTTTTATTTCCCACCCCCGCCAAAAACGATGCATCGAGGACCATTCTGTCAGCAGATGACTTTGTGGGTATACCTGTTAGAAGCTTTAAGTGATCATGTATTTTGGATATTAATATTGGTATATAGTAGATATCTCTCTATAATCATTTTAACTTTAATTAAATGTTAAAAGTTTATATTTCTTGGATGGAAGAACTTAATATGACGATGATGTGTTACACTTTGTTCCCTCTAGAAAGATTTGGAGGCTTTCTGCTTATTAGGTACTAAAATGCAGTGAAATCTATGACAGATGTGCTGTTGGTAATAATGAATGGACATTGCAAATGGTGTCATTATGCTGCAAAGTGTCTGCTGTTATTGCATAATTAATTGAATAAAGTTTTGATGAAATTACAGTAATATCAGTACTATGTAAGATTTGAGGTTTTCACAGCAGTGAGTATGAAGATTTCTGGGTTGTTGCTCTGTGTAGTCTGGTTGATGTTAACCAACGTTTCAGAGGTCATACTGCCTCCGTCATCATCGCCCTGATGACGGAGGCAGTATGACCTCTGAAACGTTGGTTAACATCAACCAGACTACACAGAGCAACAGTCTTCTGGGTTGTTGCACTGTGTAGTCTGGTTGATGTTAACCAACGTTTCAGAGGTCATACTGCCTCCGTCATCATCGCCCTGATGACGGAGGCAGTATGACCTCTGAAACGTTGGTTAACATCAACCAGACTACACAGTGCAACAACCCAGAAGACAGAAATCTTAATATCAGTACTGTCTACGGTCTCTTACAGCTAAGAGTTCTAACTCTGTGTTGCTGCCTCTCCAACTTAAACATGGCCTTTGCAATTGTTCTAGCCTTGTGAGCCTTAATTGCATCTTCATACTAGCTTAAGGAGTTTGTCTTGATGCCAAGTTTTTCATAGTCCAGATGCCTTCACATGCCAGGCAATGAAATTAATTGTGTGTCTTGACATATTAATATGAAGAATAAATGCAGATGAATTGCCTGACACCTCCTGCAATAGATAATATAAGTGCGGGTGATTCTTGATTGTGTGAATTATATATATGAATAGTGTCCTACTCGTAAAATGAAGTCAAGATGAAGCTCTTATAATCAAGTGGTCACAAGTGTCTGGCTATAGGCTGCAGCAATGAAGCATCAGTTCAAAAGTAATATTTGGACAGGAATAACTGGTGATCTCCTCATATGAGCTTATGAGTTAGTGTTTCAACTCTTAGGGCATCTTATTTACATTTTAAACAGAATTCCCAAAAATACTGTTGGCTGTACCACTGGCAATGTAACATACTGTGTGGTTTACGCATGGTGAAGCTCCTGTTCATTTTACCTGCAACATAAAGCAGCTTTTGGACTCTTATCAGACATGCTGATACAAAAATGAATGTGCTTCTAATAAGCTGTTTTACTTGTCTCATTTGATTTACTGATGCTTCCAGTTCTCACTAATGAAGAGGTTGCAACTGAGCCCTGCCGGCTCTCGTGACTGGAACCAAATTATCCCAGGCCTGGAGGTGGTACGGTTGTAGGATAAGAGTAGTGGTTAAGCCAAAAAAAACAAATTAAAGAACCCCTGATTAACCAAAAAAGTATATTTAATAAAAATTATATAAACATTGAAATAAAGAGAACAAAGAGACACTTTTCGGTCAAGCCCCCCAGGGCTCAGTCTCCGGTTGGGTATACGACTAGACACGTCAAACCATACCCCCAAAACAGACCTGCCTTCAACCTTCCTGCTTGAGTCGTTCACTCCCGACAGACACACACAGACTGTCTGCCCTGCTGTCTCATCAGGGTCTCGAAGCCAGCGACTCCAAAGAACGTCGAGAGGGGAGATAGGCCACTTCGAGCCATGAGGCATGGCTCACAACCCTGTGTTTATAGGAACTTTCTGGCTTTGTTTTAGGAATAGAACACAATTGTGTTTGATGCATAAAATTAAGAAGTACCTACTATGTGGCTATTTGTAATTATTTGCATATATTATACAAAACACTGATCTAGAAACATCCTATTATTATATTTCAGAAGAATTACATAATTGCTTTCTGTTACACTTGCCAGTTAATTCATGTCATAAAAGAGTTTACTTCTTCCTCAATTCCTATATTTTTACAGTATATTTTTATGTACGAAATTTCACATAAAGTACCCTCCTTCACTTTTATGTAGTCGGAGTATTGTGCATGAAACATCTTTGTATATCACAGTGTTTTAAAATACTACCCGTTAATATATTCACTCATCCAGTCAAATGCTGGAGACTACATGTTGCATTTGAGAAATCACTATTTCCAGCCAAAAAGGGGAGGACATATGCTTTAACATTGAAATCAATGTTGTTGTTCTCCAGTAGTGCCGAGAACAAAAAAGCAAAATTTTCATGTACCTAGTTCAGTTAAATGCACACAGAGAGAATACCAGAGGGACATGACAAACCTGCAGCAAACATTCTAGGCGTTGAACAGTGCAGCTTTTGTTGTTTTCCTAATCATGTTGATTATTGTCAAAAGATGTTTACAGTAGGATGATCAATCTGTGTTCTAATTCACAGAGTTTAAAACTCTGAGACTTTTCTGTCCCTCTATAACCTTAAAATAACATTTTGTACTGTGATAATTTCCTTTAGAACAATGAGAGCTCTAAAAACAAATTTGTATAATTAAAACAATATCCAAGAAAACATTTTAAACTTTTGTCTAAAAATTATGTACATAATGGGACAATGAGATTTTTCTTTTTACCCAGTGGACATTGGTGATTCATTTCCATCCATAAGATCAATATGAATGTAAAATTCTCTTTGCATAAGTATCATGATTTGAAGATGTCTGAAAGAAGGGATGTAACACTCCATCCACTCTGTCTCAGCAGTGGATGGAAGTGAGTGATCAGCTTTATGCTCCAGGTGATTTATCCTTTGAAAAGGAACTCCAGGACTGACTAGGAGAATTGGTGGATCCAGAGCTGGCCTGGTTTTTGTTGACAAGAAAATTCCCACTCTCTTCATGAAATGAATACCAGTTATTCATCATGCCCAACACAATTCCATCCAGGCTCATACTTTGAGATATGGTGGTTGGTGCATGTAGCTGCTTTACTGTTTTATTCAGCAGTTGATTTCAAGGAGCTTTAACACACATTCTCACAATGTGTTGCATTGCTACATGTATCTCTTTGTCATGCACTGCCCTTCTCTTCTGATGAACATTTCATCATGCTGAGCCTTCTAATAAAATATATATGTGTATGCGGTTCTGAATGGAACAATTGTATTTTAATGAAATTTCAATGTTTCAATTTAATTTGAATTTAAGTTGGTGTGCCTGTTGAATACCTGGGTGGTTTTTGTAAATGAGCAAAGTAAGGAGTTGTGGTTTGTTAACCTTAAAACTTCATAGTTTTCATCAAGCCTGTCTTGTTCTTCCTGATGCTTCCGATTCTGGACAAATCTTTACAATTTATTGACTACTCCTATGTTCCTTCTCAATTCAGGATAATAATTCTGGTAACATTTTATCTGTTTGACCTATCTTGATGCTTGGAGCATGTATGACAAACTGAACACCATTATCTTAAATCCAGAAGGAATCTTCTCTCTTAAGACAAGAAACAGTTAGAATGTTGTCAATGAGACTACATGAATTTATCACAGAACATGCATTCTTGTCTTTCTTGATCAACAACAAACCATCAAAAACCATCGTACTCATAGGCAATATATGTCTGTGCTGTTTAACTTCTGACTTCTGTTATTTGGTGTTGTAAAGGATGTGGACAGAAGAGAAACAGCTGTAGTGACTTCACTGGAGTTTAATGGCTTAAAAACAATGGTAAGTTTGAGTTCCTGGTGTTGCAACTGTACAACTTTTTACAGATAAGAATACATTACAAATAATTCATAATGTTCATTAAAGTTTTCTTGTCATATATTATAAATAGGTAGTATAATTTATCAATGGAATGTAATGGGTGGATGTATTTGTATTTTATGTAAACCATTATACTATGTGATATCTTTATAACAGTACAAATTGCACTTGTATTATTCTGACTTATTTCACATCCTATTAACATCCAAATAACTTATGGACATATGCAATTTAATAAAAATATATGTATGTAATATTACATACATACATGGTTCTTAAGCTATGTCAAAAATGAGTTCTTATATTTATTTCTTTTGGTAGCTCAGACTGGAACAACCTAGGTCTAAGTCACCTCAATCTATTTCCCAGATTCTTACAAGGTTATGGTATGGTACATTCTACCAGAGGATATTTACTATTAATTATTTTAGTGATTTCTGAACTTACATACTACTTTCTCACGATGCTGCACTGTCCCTAATAAAGTTTTTGGTTATTTCCAATACCCTGTGCCTGGCCTTACTTCACTATAAAGCTTCCAGTTATCCTGGGTAGTGTAGTTTTACTATAATGTCTCACCCTTGACTTGACTATCACTGTAGAACACAGAAGAGATATTTAACATTTCAATACCACTAACATTATATCCAACTAATTAACTGTATTTTACATGAATACAACCTAATTTATGCCACTAAATCCTATTTCAGTTATAAGCATTTTCATATTAGTATTCCATCTTCATCCCTGCCTTCAACATAGTAACTTTCGAAGAGGTTCTTCCACCAACAATTCTGCCACAGCCTTTCTCATTCGGGAGTGGAGTTCCTTGAGGATAAATGGGTTTCATTAGGTAAAAATGAGAAAGCAAGAGTCTGGCTTTGTTCTTATGAATTGACAGCATTCATAACATTGATGGAAATATTATGGTAGATACTGACTTTATTCATATGTACAAATGGTCACTCTTGTGTTCACAAATCAAGGTCTTCCACCACAATAAAATAATTCAGCTACCTTCATGTGAAACGGATCTTATAGTATGGATTCTTGTGTTCCAGGAGAGAGTAATGGCAGAACTAAAGGAGATATTTGGTGACTCTGGTCACTCTCCAACTTTACATGACCTACAGAACATGAACTACTTAGAGCAGGTCATCAAAGAAACACTCAGACTTTTCCCTACTGTTCCTATTATTGGGAGAAAAATCAGTGACCTCAATATAGGTTTGTCAAAAAACTTACTTATTCCTCATTACACAGATTTTCTCTTCTGCCTAATAGTTTAAATATTTTTCCATCTGTGGTCTTTGACATTAAACTTTGACCTAATTTTTTTCTGTTTTTTCAGAACCCACAGGGTGCTGAGGAAAATATATTTATCTAAGAGGAATAAAGAGATAGGCAGGGGAAAATTATATAAAGAGCACTATTAAAATTGGTTCATGACATTTATGTTTAAAGCCAAGAAGCTGATGTGCCCTAGTGAATTCCAGGCTTTATTGATTTCTTCCTATCTTCCTATTCAAAGATAAACTGAAATAGCATCTCCTTGTTCCAAAACATTCTCAATAGGAAATGTTGCAGACAATGTTTTCCTGTGTGGACTTATTACAGGTTGTGCTTAAACACATTCTGATTCGCCTAACTAGTTTCATGGGTGTAGATTCAGTGAGAATTTTGTACAGTACTTCACTCCATATTTCATGGGACTTATCCCCCAATACAGTTTGCTGTATATACTACATGCCTGTAGTCCACCTCCCTTTTCTGATTTCACATTCAGTGTACATGCAGCAATATACAAGTTTTATATTAAATATACAGATATGTACAGAATGTCATGTTTTGTTTGTAGGCCAGAAATATTCAGTGCTGATGTTGAAATCATCACTGTCAACTCTACTGAGAAATTACAAACTACTGGTCGGTGTTACACCTCTAGTCCTGGCTAATGAAATTATACTGAAATCACTGTCTGGAATCTGCATCAATCTTGAGAGGTGATGAAGATCTGAAAGACAGAAACAATGCAGGGGAAATAATAGTTATGATGGTCAAAAGACACTGCTATAAAATAAGCACTGCAGACGTAAGGTTTACTGATAACTATACAGAGGGAGTTTATTTTACAGTTGTACTTATATCACTGTCAATTTCTGGCCATTAAATGTTTGTAAAAGAGCCCTGATCATAAACAGAGGTGACATACTTTGTGAAATTTAGTGTTTTAACAAATTATATTTTGACAGAATTAATTACCAGACATTATGATCAAGTAATCAGCACTCCATATTTTGGTATCTCCTGACACAAATTACACTGACTGAAGCTCTTGATGGTTTCCATTTCTTCATGTAGCTGGAACAAATGTTACAATAGGCCACAACTGCTCATTTTTGTGTGTCTTATAGTGTATCATTCACATCCATCATACTACTCAACACTACATAACCAGTTAATATACACTGCCTGATCAAAAGTATCCGGACACCTCTCTGTAAACGTAAACCCGAGTCTAGATATCACTACGACCACCACTGCTGCTATAAAAGGAGGCAGAGGGCTCGATGTTGTTCAGTTCTACGCGATACCGACAGAATGGGTGCAGCAAGGGAGCTCAGTAACTTGGAATGTGGTATGGTTATTGGTTGCCTGTGAACGCTAAGTGCAGCGTTCATTGGTGTAAAGAGTGGGTTGTGGACTACTGGAGACGCGTGATTTGGAGTGATGAATCACGCTATACCATGTGGCAGTCCGATGGGAGGGTTTGGGTGTGGCGAATGCTAGGTGAACGCTACATGCCGGCCTGTATAGTGCCCACAGTGAAATTCGACGGAGGTGGGGTGACAATGTGGGGGTGTTTTTCATGGAAGGGACTTAGTCCTCTCGTAATACTACGGAGCACGTTAAAGGTGGAAGGATATAAGGACAATCCTATTGAACACCTCTGGGATGAACTAGAAAGGCGACTGCGCGCCAGACCCCAATGACCCACATCACTAACTACGCTTGCTACAGCGTTGCAGGAAGAATGGTCGGCCATTCCCCTGGCGACGTTCTAACACCTGGTAGACAGTCTCCCATACAGAGTTAGAGCTGTAATAAATGCCAAGGGTGGGCCCACCCCGCATTAATGTCCACTACTGGGCAGTAAATCCGAGGGACACTTAGAGGACAGTTTCGCGTAGGTGTCCGGATTCTTTTGTTCAGGCAGTGTAGTGTTAGTAAATAACACATGAATAAATCATTATTATAAATTAGTATTCAGACATGAGTTTACATAAGAACAGCATATTTGTATCATGTTACATGACATGTTTATGACGAGAAAACTCAGTAAAAAAAAAAAGAAGTTGCTATCCCACTATACACCATATAGGCGCTTGGGGGGAGAGAGTGTACAGCTTCTACTCATTCTTGACCTCAGCATTAGATGGGGGTGAGTGGTCAGTATCATGCCTTGGCTGCACTTTAACCCTGGGAAAGGTCCCCCAGTACCCATTGGATAGGAGGCTGGGTGGGCCCCACAACTGGTCTGGATGCAGAGGCTAGAGAAAAAAATCCTCTGTCCCCATTGGGGATCGAACCCTGGTTGTCATCCAGTCCGTAGACAGTAACTATACTCATTGAGCTATGCTGGCTCATCCAGAAAACCCAGTAGGCTAAGTACATGAACTTTATAACACATTTTTGAGACCTGAGTAATAGTAAGACAATATTAATTAAATTATAACACTGGAATAACAAATGTATAAATGTAATTCATTATGTTTGATTCATTCACATTAAAATACAAACACTGTTCTTTATATATAAAACATTATACAATCAAGAAATATGCATAAATCTCAATCACTTGGTTCAACACAATTACAACAATCATTTCAGCTGCACATGGCAGGCATTAACATGGCTCACTTTCAAGCATTCATCACTACATAACAAGAATTATAAATTCAATTTCACACATTATGTATCATTTCTCTAATGAAATGTCTCATATTTTACATAGTTATACATCATGTCTGTTGCAAGTGGCAGTGGTTCACTATAATCCTGCTCTCCATACTAGTTGAAAAACTGAGATCAAATTCACTTCTCCACTGTTATGTTCATGCTTCTGATAAAGGCACTAATAACATTTGTCAATTTAAAGAGACAGAATATAATGTAACAATTAATGATCTGCCATCCAATATATGGTAATAAGACTGGTTCACAACAAGAAAATCTAAAATCACTTAAAATAGAAATATTTTCATACATTCAGAAATGTATATATTGAATAGCTGCATAATTTGTACACTTCATTTAATACTGTTAGGGCTATAAAATCAAGAAAAATTATATGAATGGGGTATGTAGCATATATGGAGGTAATAAGACATTCACACAACGTTGTAAGAAACCCTTAAGTATTAGACCACTTAGGAGACCTAAGCATAAATGGGATGATAATATTAAGATGAATATTAAATAGAATTTGAAGATGCAGACAAGATTCAATAGCTCAGGATGTCTAACAGTGTGTGTTTGTGGACACAGTGATGCACATTTGAGTTATGTAAAAGCAAGACTTTTTTGAGAAACAAAATAACCGTTAATTGTTCTATGAAGTCTTTGTACCATGAATTAGGTCATTTAGTATTACATAAAATAAATTTTACTTGATTTCTATTATGAAAGCCATCTAGTATAACATTCATAGTACCTTAAGTATTACCCGATTTTCACTGTACCTAGAAGTAAGGCCAATACAGCTAATACCAAATTTTTCAAATTTAAACCTTCCAACACTGAAAATATCTGATGTAAGGAGTAATTAGTATAAGATTCCGATATATGAAATGATGATAAGTCTGTAAAATAGTCCTAATAAATAAGCCAGACTTTTACTCCAGCCTTTAATGATTTAGCGTTATGGTACTGCAATGCTTAACCAGCTAGACTCCACATATGACAGGATGCATGGCTGATAAAATTTAAGGTTGTTTTATATGAAAAGGAAAATTACACTGTGATGTCATATAATAAAGATTTACTGTTTGATCCTGTGGCAATGACTAAGAAACCATTTTGTGTAGCACGTGATTACAAGAAATTAATCTACAGAAACTTTGATGCAAATTTATTTTTGTACACACTATCACTTCATATTCATGAATTTCCTACTCCCAGTTGAGCTCCCAACATACAGTACCACAAATGTCCTTTGAAAAGTATCCTGTGGCCTTCCCCTCCACCTCTCCCAGTATTCAGTGATGTTACAAAAGAATAATGCACACTAATTCATGAAGAGGTACATACATATATTTATCAGAGTCCGTGTTCTTATTTGTAATCTTCTCACAAATATATCACTTGTTAATATGGAGATATGTTTGCTTGCATGTTGAACAGTGTATTCAAAGCAACATTTTGAACCTTCGAGTTTATGTTTACAAACTACATGGAATCCAGTAGAGTTCTACTGCTTTATGGTGCCCTATGATCTGCAGGAGAGGTGAGGGAAGATAAGAATAGTAGTAGTAGAAAGAAGCAGAGACATTTGTTGCAGAATGACAGGTAGTGAGAGTTCAGTTATAAATCTGGTTAGAAACACGAATAATTGCCTTCAGATTTACCGATGTAGTCCTATACAAGTTTTTTTTTCTGTTACAAAACTAGACTGTGACCAACTTGTTTGGCTGTGCAGTTTCACCTTGTGTTTTATAACTGATTGTTTTACACTTGCTAAAATCATGATAGAGCTCCAATGCTCAACCTGTCTCTTATACAGCTATCAGGAAACTAACCTACACCAAAGTAAAACCAGATAAGAAAGACTGAGCCTTAACATCACAGCTAGTCAACTTGGTTATAAAGAGCAACATTAATGTTATGTATGTAGAAGTTGAACGTTTTTATTACAGAACAGAATTGGTGAAACTTGACATAACCTGTCAACAGCATTAGTATAAGTTAGATGTTGTGAAGCAGTCAGTCACAGTAGTTCTAAACCATCTGTTTTATGGCTTTTAATTTAGATACTTTTGTAAAGTAATGTCCAGGAGCACATATTTAAAATTCTACATAATACTGGTTAAACAAATGGTAAATTGTGCATTATCTGTTAATATTGAAACTGGCTGGCACAGGGGATAGAATCTTCACCAATTTGCTGAAAGCAAAAGTTGTTAAATTTTACATTGCAGTCTCTAACGGTTGGCTCTTACTTCTGTTAAATGATGGAGGTCCCTGAACAGGAGCATAATCATCTAAGTTTGTTTCTAGCAAAACTTCACTCTTTGAACGGACAGGCAGAGGCTGTTGTTCCCCTAAATTAGTCTCTAGTATTGCTTGACTTTTAGGTCTCTCTACTGGTTCACTATCTATATCTGTTTCTAAAAGACTGGTCCTTCCAGGATCGTAATTAAAGTGATATTCAGCAGGTGGTTCAGGTTGGAGCAATGGGTACTCTCCGTCAGGTTGAAAACTATCATCTAATGGTAGTGGTGGTTCTGGTGGTTCACTGTAACTTGTCTCCTGGGCCTGATATCTTGCCTGACCACTATAATCTGATCCCTGCTTCACCATGAAAGTGAAATCAGTCATAGCCAGGCTAGTGTCCAGTGGAAGAGTTGAGGAATTGTGGATGTAATCAGGACTTGTGTTGTCATCGTCATTGTATTCACTTATATTCGTTGAAGGCTGCCAGTTGTCATGAGATGAAGCAAAAGTTGACGTGTCCTTGAAACCTTCATTCCTGTAGGCAAGGTCAAAGTTGGGATTCAAAGCTTCGTCAGTTGACTTGGCACCAAAGTTGGCCGTGTAACCATTGATGTTTCGAGCTGCAGAATTGGGATTGTGAGCCTCATATATGTCATAACTATGGCTATCTTCAACTGATGAATTAAACTGAGATTTATCCATTGAATCAAAGCTACCATTCATCATTTTCTTGTAGTCTGATCCCTTCGTAAGGGTAGGGCTGGATCGCTGACTCTGCAACCACATCAGTTAAACAAATCATCCATCGAGCAAGACAAATAAAGACTTATAAAGGTATACCAAAGAAATAAGGACTTGTATATGTGTGTCTTACAGAAGGACAGAGGACGGTATGTGTTACAAACATATTTCTTTTTTAAATATGAATGGTCATTCCAAGTTATATGGGCCGCCTGTCACCACAGCATGGCACATACTCATTAAGGTTACAGAGGAGAAGATCTCCAGACATGGAGGGAAACTGCAAATGTATTGATGACAGCCAAGAAGGATGGACCTCGAGCTTGGAGTTTGGGCAGGGGACCAACAATTCCCCACCACATAAAACCAGCATGTTACCTTTGTTACACAGGACCCTGAAATTCTATTGTAAGCTGACAGGGTTGGAGAGTATGGACTGAATTCATCTGGTTCATGATAGGGACCAGTTGTGGCCTCTTGTGAACATGATAATGAACTTCATGGTTCTATAAGAGGCTGGAAATTTCTTAATTAATTGAGTGTACCACTAACTTCTCAAGAAGGATTCTGCTATGTCATGTGAATTTGAAAAAAACATTATTAAATAAATCGTGAAGCAACAAATCGTAAGCCCATGAATCTGTAAGTCAACCAGTCTCACAAGTTAAGAAGTACCACAGTAAAAAATAAATTGGAATTTCTTTTTATACCAGCCAATTAATATATTTACTCAATACAAAAAGCAATGAGGGAAACTTACAGAAGTTGGTTTCCTTCTGATTCCTATTTCTGTAAACCCTCCATGAGCAGATGCCAACCCAACTGAACGAATTGAATGCAATGACTGACGAATGGAATTTCGTCGTTCAAGACGCTCCAGGTGGCGATGACGTGATTTACTGTACCAGAAACCAGCAGCTAAAGCTACCAACAAAAGAGCAGCTCCAACTGTACCCAATACAGCAACAGTCACC